CACATTTAAAATCCTACAGAAAAATTCCAAAATTCCAGGAAACAAATTTCAAAAAAATTATATAGCGTGTGTTATATATAGTTAATGATTAGTTGCCGATTTTGCTTATCTATATATTCACAAGTGAAGCAGTTACTTACTTATTTCATTCAACGATTTTTAACAAATATCAGATGTAGTTTTGGTAACACTTGGATTAGCTAACCATGGGCCGTTACTTTCTTTTCTTGCTCTTATCCAATAAATCCAAGTCGACATTTTGTTTTCTTGTCACCCGATTACATTTTGATATACGAAACTTCAGAATATTATTTCATCCAACGAGGAGATTTAATTTACATAATTCGTTAACAACTAATATTCAAAATCTCAAGTTCCTAGCGGTGATAACATGTCTTGATAACATGTAAATATCTGTCACCTAGTTTATGTTTGTAACTTTTAACTTCAGTGCCTCAACATTATTGCCGGTTATTTCCAGTCAATATTTCAAATTAAACTTATATTCTGTATTCCAATGCATGCATTATGATTATAACTTGTATATATTCCCATTTCATCTGTTACTTGGTATAATTCAATTTGATTGTGCAAATTTTTCAATATATAGACATTTGGAAATGCATTACTGAGTGATATATAACGATTCTTACCGGGTTTGCTATAAAAAGTCAATACTACAAAAAAGGACAGAGAAGATAGGGGCAAGTGTCCTATGAAAATAGTGTCCTAAACATATGTGCGTGGAATTTTGGTGCTCATGTAGTATGCGTACCAAGATGGCGTAGTATGTGTACCAGGTTAGGGTTGGGCCATTTGCGACTTACAACTTCAGGTTAGTTCTCGAATCTTTCACGTTTAATCTGAAAGTGACAATGAGCATATTATTAACCAGAGCTACTTCGAAATGCTTCACCACTCGTCCATAGGTTCTCAGCGTCATTTACCTGCGGCTTGTCGTTGTTTTAAGATTGTTATATCACTAAGAGGGCGAAGCCAGATTATTTTGATAGTACCGTTTTTTTCTTAAAATAAGACCTAGTCGATAGCGCAAATTTTTTTTTGACCATCTATAGCGAGAAATCTTGCAAAATCTACTTTGTAATTTTATTTTGGACAAATGAAAATAAAAGACCTTCCCCCAAAATAAGCCCTAGTTTTATTTTTCGAACGAAAATTGAAATAAGATCCAGTCTTATTTTCGGGGAAACACGGTATACCAGCAAATATTTGTTACTTTATATCTCGCCATATTATTTCAACTATACACTCTGCGCTGACTTGCGTGTTGAATAAATCAGCCACGTGTGAAATAGCAGCATTGAGTTTCACCAATATGATGATATTATTCTGACCAGCCACGCTTCATTGACTCCCAGTGTGAGAGAAATCAGCCACGCGTAAGATGGCAGCACCAACCTCCCCTTTGATATGAACATTCCGGCTTCCCTATAGGCTCCATTGATTCCTAATAATGAAGAGTACATGTAATAACGCCCAAGTCACACCCTCAATTAAACATGCTTGTGGCAACCCTCCATAATGCGTGACCCAAGCATATAGAACCCGTTCTGAGCCCTGGAGGGCAATGACACAATCGAGCCCTTGTTTTTAATGGTCCGACTCCAGTATGTTTCACCAAACTTATTAGTATAGTTTTGTATTGCGCCCATTACAAACAAAATACGTGAAAGATACTTTAAATACTTTGAATGCGAATATACGTTGTTTTTATCTGTTCAATATTTTTTGTACCACTAAAAAATATATTTGCTCACTGTTAAAATTGATCAATAAATTCAACTCGTATTGTTGTGTCATTTCTGTGCTAGCCGGTTGTACAATACGAACAAGTACTTGAGAAAAGCTCGATTCTTACGCACGCAGAAAACCCATGACGGTAACGAAGGTCTGCAGATGATCGGGTAATTTCAACCTTTGACCCTCGCGCATTGCTGGCTTAACCATCGGGCAAAATAAGCACGTGCTTCGGCACCAAGGGAAAATAGGCAAATTGCTATTGGTGCCTCAGTGTTTAATGAAGCAATTCAAGTTGGTCAGACGACGTAGACCTCAACGGTGGCCCGGTTGAAATGAAGTTCTCGTGTAGGCTATCATCTTAAATCCCCTCCATCAGCGTTTTCAGGTATGAGAACTGTTTCCAAAAAAATAATGCAAATACCGTAAATCGTAACTTGGCCCTTAATTAGTAATGAATAGTGACACTTACCTATTTAATTTCAGAAAACATAGAATACCAGTTTCATACTTATTATTATTTTATATATAGGACACCAAAATCTGAAGTGCCTAGGCCCTAGGGCCTCTGAAGGCATGATCCGGCACCGCCATCACGTAATGTGTTTGCAACCGCCCGATAAGCAAATTGGTTAAAGAAGAATGCGATTTCGACAAATATGAAATCTTGCTTAATTACTGAATTTCAGATAGTATAAAATACCAGTTTTATGATAAATAATTTTTATATAAAGAGCATCAATATCAGTGCTGAGGACCTCCAAAAGTCATGTTTCGGTCCTGCCACGTATTGTGTTTGAAACAGCCCGATAAAGAAGAAAATTGGTCAACGGGAGAATACGAATTTCAAAAAATATGGAATCTTAGTATCTGAACAGGGGATTGTCCCAACATTGAAACTGTTTTTCGAGTCACGCAAACTCTATAAATAACTGAAAATATTCTTGGTTGAGCAGGTGCCGTTGCCAGACTTCGGGATACGGATCATTCGTTTGCATGGCATTTAACTTTACTCCCTTATTATCCAATTGTGCGTTATAGAGGAGTTCTCGGGGTCTCATTCTAAAGCAGGGGTTCCGAAAGTTTATTGGCCGCGGGCAAAAATTGGAATGGAACACTATTTCACTTAAGCTCGACGTGTCATTTTAAATCGTAACGCGGGACGCGGTTCGGGAACCCCTGTTCTAAAGTAAATAAACATCCTAATCTTATCAATGATGGAACGGATAACTAAAAATTTATCCACAATTGGAGGTATTTCAGAGGCAAAATTATTATATTTTTGCAGTAGCCTTCTTTCTCAACAAAGTTCAGATTTGACTTTTGGGCAGAGAGAGATCTTTGCCGCCTGAGCTTCAAGTCGGACGATACTAATACAATATCCTGGTGTCCACTCCCTAGCGGTAACCAAAGTTCTAAGGCACACATGTTTTAGAGTCGTATTTTTATAGGGAACTGCCTCTAGCTTCTCTGCCTCCCTTTTTTTTCCTGCACTATTGACTGTTTATAGCGAACCCAGTGAGAATCGTTATATATCACTCAGTAATGAGTTTCCAAATGTCCATATATTGTAAAATTTGCACAGTCGAGTTGAATTGTTCAAAGTAACAGATAAAATGAGAATATATACAAGTTATAACCATAATGCATGCATTGGAATACAGAATATAAGTTGCATTCGAAATATTGACTGGAAATAACTGATAATAATGTTTGAGGCACTGATGTCAAAAGTCACAAACATAAAACTAGGTGACTTTATCTTTACACGTTATCAAGGTTTCACACTGTTAGGAACTGGAGAATTTAAATATTAACTGTTAAAAATTGTGGCTCAAAGAAATTTTCTTGAATTCCAGAATATTAAAATGTAATCTGCCCGTGGCAATAAAACAAAATGGCGGCACTGATTTGTCAGGCAAGAGAATAAAAATAAGGGTAACGGTCCATGGTGAGCTAACTCAGGTTTCATCGTAACCACATCTAATATTTGGTTAAAAATTGTTGAATGAAATAAGTAAATAATTGCTTTACTTGTGATATATAGATAAACTAAATTGCCAACTAATCATGAACTAAATAACACACGCTATATCAAATTTGATGGTTTTAAAAATTATATAATTTTTTTGTAAGGATATTAAAATGTAATAATGAGAAAATAATAAACAAAAAGCATACGCTTTGTTTGTGAATTAAAATCGGTACCAGAAGCGATTGAAAACAATAACAATTAATAATAGTAACACATACTATACTACACAGAATATATATATACTTTTTTTTTAATTGTTTTTAGATTTAAAATTTTTTTATTTTTCAAAATATATTAATTTCTTAAAATATAATAAAGATAATATAAATAATGATAATAATAAAGAAAACATGCAATGCATTTATGAATTTAAATTATTGATCAATAATATCGCACACAATATAAATTTTTTAGTTGAGTTTTAACATATGCTAATGAAAAAAAATAAAAAAAATAATCAGGAGAATATGAAATTTATGACCATACATTTTCAAAACACAATTTTGCAAAATAGAAATGTTCAAACAACGATGTATAATAATATACAAGAAAATAGACAGATAGATATAAACAAATCTGGAGATGAGCTTTGGAAAAATGCCTGCAACCACGAAACATAGTGTAACCGTCTGAAGGAGCAGGGTGGCCACAACACAAAACAAGCTGTTTTTCCTCATTTATAAATATTTTCTTCATTTGAGCTTTTTCTCCCCAGAGCATGAATACAATATTGCTGTAATTATCATTCAAATGACGAACTACAGCATTGGTCAGTATCTCCCATTCTTGATTTTTGTGCGATTCTAGTTCTTCATGTCGAACCGTGGTCCGTGAGATATGAGTTCAAAAGCAAAACACCTTGCTCTGCCCATGAAGTTAAATCACCATTGCTGGGATATACAAACACAATATCCTCATCATCCAATTTTTCTTAGATCTTTCTTAGTGATGCTGGTAGTTTTGTGAAACCTTTTACGCTGAAACTCAGTCCATGTGCTTGTCCTTCCCCCGGATAAAGATCATGATCAACAATAACGACTTTAACATTTTCTATTCCACCGTATTCATCACCGGCCCAAGCTAATACTTTTTTTCAAAAGAAATTGTATATTAATATTCCCTCGCCGTTAAGAAGTCACGCAAGTCACTGTCATCTTTGAACAAATTCCGATTCCTAAACTGTTTTCCGAAATTCCTCGATAGAATCTCAATATCTTCGTGTCCAATTGATCCATCCAATTATTCCTCTATGATTTGATAAATATTCGTTAGCTTGCGAAAAATGTTTGCAACCGAGAAAAGGATGTTCCCTTTTTTCCTTTTTCCCCCCATCTGTTTGAGGTATAAAAGAAGGGTGATCACAACACAATACAAGATGTTTATTCTCATTTATAAATATTTTCTTCATTTTAGCTTTGTCTCCCCAGAGCATGAATACAATATTGCGGTAATTATCATTCAAATGACGAATTACAGCATCAGTAAATACCTCCCATCCTTGATTTTTGTGTGATCCTGCTTCTTTGGCTCGAACCGTCAGACATGAGTTCAAGAGCAAAACACATTGTTTTGCCCATGAAGTTAAATCACCATGGTTGGGCGGTTCAAATCCTCGAATATTAGTTTTCAATTCTTTATAGATCTTTCTTAGTGATGGTGGTAGTGTCTGAAGACCTTTTACACTAAAACTCAGTCCGTGCGCTTGACCTTCTCCAGGATAAGGATCCTGACCAATAATAACAACCTTGACATGTTGTATACCGCAGTATTGTGTCCAAGCGAATACTTCTTCTTCGGGAGGATAAATTGTATTTCCAAATTCCTCTTTCTCTATTGTTAAGAAATCACACAAGTTAATGAAATACTGCTCATATAACTCTGATGCCAATACTGGTTTCCATGACTCTTCGACAGTACTCAAATATCTAAATCGTAAATCAGTATACTCCGGCATCATAGAAGGATTTTGATAATTCTTCACCATAAGACGCAAATGATAATTCGACATCTCAAGATTCTTCATCATACGAAGCAAATGATAATTCGACATAATAAGGAGCATATGATGATGCTCTATCATAAAACGCATTTGATAATGCTCTATCATAAAACGCATATTATAAAAGGACTCCATAAAACGCATATGATAATTCTCCAACATAAGACGCATATTATAATTCTCCAACATAAGACGCTTATGATACTGCTCCATCATAAAACGCGTATTAATCGACCCCATAAAACGCATATGATACTTGTCCATCATAAGACGCATTTGATAATTCTCCTTACGCATATGAAAATACGCCATCATAGAATTCATTGGATTATTTTCACTTCATAGGTGGCAATGGACTATTCGACATTCTAGAAAACAAAATAAGAAAAATTGGAATACAATTTTGTCCTAAATCTAACCTGGTAGGCTGGTACACAGACTACGTTCCGGTGTCCGCCATCTTGGTGCACATATGACGGGATCGCAAATAAAATTACATTCTTACGTTCTTCCCGTGGGCTGTTTCGAGTTTCACTTCAAACAAGGATATTCCAAATCACTTTAAAATTATACTCCAAGAGTTACTAAAGCAATTACGCTACTTGATTAGCTAAGTTTTACCGAATTTTCCAGGAATGTATTGGAAAATATGCTGGAAATACGCCGCGCGCAATGAAAAACCACCGGGATTTTCGTTTTTGTTTTCCATCCCGATCAATCAGGATTGGTACTCATTGTAAATTATATAAACTCAATATCAGGAATGAGTTCTCAGCGCTTACTAATGCCATTCGACTGCGAAGAATCAAGCAATTCTCTCCTACATAATCATTGGCGTATCTGGTAAAGAAAATACTAAACTGACAACTTCGATGTACATAATTATTCCTCACAGGATTCAAATAACTTAATTAATTATATTTCAATCAGGAGTTTAGCATGTTTAAACAGGGATGTCTTTGCTAATTTAATACAACAGCTGATACCATTCAATTGTTTCTGTTTTATTTGTTCCTTAAATACAAGCAATGCACAAAAGTAAACATATAGATTGAATCACAATCTCACAAAGTAATTAAACTTGAAACCCCCCAGTTTGACAGCCAGAATGTCGAACCAAAACTATAATTGTAAAGTTATAAATCAATGGCTAATTTCTTTTATTGTTGGATTTGATTAGCGGGGGAAACAGGAATTTATTTCTCAACAGAAAACGCGTCTGTAATGAATTAGTATTTTTCTCTTTGATGAGCCATTTTGCACACAACTCTGTCCTGACATATATTTTGATAAAACATACGTTGTAAATGAGATTGTATCAACTATGACCTACTGCCAGAGTCTTCCTTTTTTTATTTCACTTTTCAAAATCTACCCTCACTAACGACTCATATTTTTATCAAGCCTGCTGCTTGTGCGAAACCGCAGTCGACAAATTGTTCGTTCATAATGAAACTGAGTGTTTTATAACCAACATCTGAAATTTTTCTCAGGGTTAATTGAATACTAATTTCGCGACAACCGTAGACGTTCCCATGACGTAATTATTTATTTGTATTCCTTCTATCCTTTGAATTTTTCCTTCTGTCAGCTAAACAAAACAAGGGTAAACCAAATCCGATCTCTCATCTTTTAACATCACACGTAATACCTCTGAATTCGTTGTCACACAATATCACGTTAGCAAAACAAAGAAAATCAGGCTTTATCACGAAGCTCTGCCAATTGAGTTGGATAAACAAATTTTTCGAACGGCAATCTGAAAAAAGTTTCAAGGCTGGTCATATATGATATCCCGAGGGAGGTGCCTTATCCGTTTTCGTCGCATTAGTACTAGTCATAACTTACATACAAAGCGTCAATAAATACTTTCAAGAAAGAAAAAATTAACCCTACGTCTCACTGGCAGTCAGTTGATGAATAATCCATTCTATTAGGATCACCTCGAGTCTTCGGTAAATGGTGACTTGAGTCGACGACAATTCAATTTCAATAAAGAGATTTAGTTGGTGTGTCTGTTTACACCGAATGCAATGATAATCGTGCCCAACATTTCTTTTATTCAAGGAATAAAAGGACATACATTGCGCCTCACATTCGTACTTTTACTCCTAACTTTGAAATCATTTTAACAATATTGGTGTATTTTTTTCTGAAGTCAATTATTTTGATTCTGATAACAAATGAAAAATTTAGAGCTTGAGCCATGGAACGCCAGATGAATTTGAGCCGATGCATTCGTACATCAATGAATCCGCAGGGCGACACCTTATGGACGTAAATAAAACGAAAGTATATTTTCAACACCATGCCAATCTCGCTATGGGTCGAGTTTGCATAATTCTGACGTCATTCTTTGTTAAATATATCAAATGCAGTGTTGTATTGTGAACACTAATTGTGCGTGTCAGTATAAAACATTTGCTGTATGATTGATATAATTAGAGTTTGTTTATTTTCGTGTTGCAATCAATTTCTCGGAGCACTTACAAAAGAAACCGTTTTCAGTTTGAAGTAGACAAGAACAACACTTAAAATGCACCAGTGATAAGTCAATTTAAACCCGTCCCGAATGATCAGAACTTGTTGTTATAAGTTGGTGAACGAAATCGGTGCATAAACGGTATCAATTTTTGCCTTCTCTCACAACAAGACCTTGGACAAGCAAACACTAATATGTAGAAATGAATTATGCTTTCCAAAAAGTTCTCAATATTTTTAGTATGTTACATGGCTTACACAGGGGACAATAGTATGTGAGAATCAATTCCGTAATATTTTGATTATGATACATAAACTACTCAATTCAAATGAGTTAGTGAGAAGGTATATTTTTCACCCTGCTACGTTGATATTGGGGGGGGGGGGGGGGGGGGGGTCCAGTGACCATTTCCTACTTATTAGATTGCAGATCAACAAGAAAACAATGGTTAAGATGGGACAAAAGTGCTTAAAATAAAATCATAAATATTATAAAATAACTAGAATTCACTAAAATGAATAAATTATGTTCAAATTCAATTTATAATCGTTCGCAATAATATGGTTTGAAAAATCAATTCCAATTATTGGACAGAACATGTGATTATCGGGGAAAAATTGATTCCGGATTTGCAGTCTGCACAGAGTTACACTGAGTCCGTACTCCCATGTTACATAATTAATGTTGACTCTCAAATTATGCCGTAAATATATTTTGAGTAACCGCTTGGGTATTTCCCCAGAATTAGTACAAAAGCTTCAATTTAAAACAAACATTTCAACTCAAATATTTGTTTGAATTTTAATCAAATAAACGAGCAGTTTAAATCATCACGAAGGCCTATCCTATCTATTTCTGTCAGTTGATTCAGCTGTCACTGATTATTCTGCCAGTGATGAAAATACGAAATGTACATTGTACAGTGTAGAATAAAATAAGAATAACATTTTATGGTGAAGGGAGACGCGACAGTACTGGTTATAGAGCACTTTGACTGGGGTCTAACACAACATGGAAAGAAAGGATTAGTTAAAAAGTAGAAAACCTAAAATAAATATATATTAGAAACAATATACACAAATATATTTCTATGTTAAAAAGGCCTGTAACGGTCTGGGCGATCCAGAAACCCTCGTTGGTGTGAAATAGAGACTCCAATAAATATGAACACAAACTAAAGAAAACCTATGGAAAATGTATTTACAACCCTCGAATCATTTGAGATAGTCATCTTTATTCTATCTATGTATGCTTGTATTCCAGGGATACACCATCGCAAAGTCGCAGAAAATATAGTCAAGCAATACATCGTGACCCTTATTGATGACTGTTTTCAGTTTGATAAAAAAAAGTTTCAGAAAGCAAACCGTATTGCGACTTATAATCACATACGAAAGTTGAGTGTTATTCGCAATCTAAACAAATCAAATACAAAAAAATAAATTGGAATACTGGGACCGTGTGAATGGAAATTTCTAGAATATTTAGTCTCATATAAGCAGACAACAACAAAAATTAGTCAGTTGAGCTACGAATGCCAACTTTTAAATGTCATAAGGCTTAGTAAATAAAACTCAGTACCCACCATCGGTACATATTATGCAAGTAGAGACAATCATAAAATAAACACCATAGAGACACATTCCAATACCATGTCACATGAAACGTCCCGTTGTGCTGTTATTGCTCCAAAATGCTTTGTTTTCAACTCTTTCAGATTTTGAACATTAAATATCAGTAAAATGGGACAAGAGCAATCTTATATGGGCGAAGTGGCGGTGAGTGATCTACCAGCGCATCCTTGCACGCTCGCGCAAAACATGCAAGAAGTTGATCCATATGAAATCGAAGACTGTATCGAAGAGGCCAGAGAAAATAACATGTATTACTACATCGGATATGCTTCTAGAGTAGATACCCGCTACATATGCGACACTCGTCCAAAGAGCCAGGAATGGGGAGACAAGTTTCAGAAACATATGACGTATTTCGCCAAAATTTCGTCAACGTATGGAAATGTCACAGAGGCCAAACTCATCCAGAAATACAAAAAATACATGAACGACCCACTTTGCGTCAACGCGAGAGCTGGAACGCATTCCGAAATAGGATATGTGTATGTACTTATTGGTCAGTGTTCCGAATATGAGCAATGTGTTATCATTTAATCGTGTTTATTATTTAAAAATCATTTGTGAATGTAATTTATTTAAAAAAATTTAACAGATAATATATTGAACTCATATCAATGAGTAAGTGTTGGTCTGATGTACCTTAAGGTGTCCCCTCTTACAGAGATTTATTGCAACCCGAAGTAGCAATTCTATAGCAGACTGACATGCCTCTTTAACGTACAAAATTTAACACTGAATTTGAAATATTTCACAACAGATTGTCATCGTATTGAGAAAATACTTTTGTTTTATTTGCTTCTCGCGTATTGAACAAATTTGTCCGTAAGGCGTCGCACAGCAAATTTATTGTTCTGAATTTTTCGTTTGGTATTCAATCAAAAAAATTGATTTTAGAGAGAAAGTCTTCAATATTATTAAAATGATTTCAAAGTTTGAAGTAACAGGGTGTATAACGTCAATTATCCGATCATTAAAAGTTTTTCACGATTATCGTTGCATTCAGTTTATATCAACAAATATTTGTTAATTTATAACCCGCCATGTTTATACAACCATACACTCTTCACTGACTTGCGTGTTGAATAAATCAGCCACGTCTAAAATATCCATTTTTCCTCATCGCGATGAGATTATTCTGACCTGTTACGTGTTTGACTCCAAGTATTGTGGAAATCAGTCACGCGTATGATGACAGCATCCCCACTTACCACTGATAAGATTAGTCGGTCTTCATTGATTCCTGGTGATGGAGAGACAAATGAAACTAGTGAAAACAAAAACACCCATGCCACACCCTCAATTAAAAATGCTAATGGAAACCTATCTTGGTCCATGCATATGGAATGAGACAATCAATCCTTGTTTTTAATGGTCGGACTCAACTATGTTTTACTGAATTAAATATAAGTATATTTTTATATTGTGCCTATTACAAACAAAATTCGTGAAAGTTACTTTAAATACAAACCTACGTTGTTTTCATCTGCTCAATATTTTTTTGTTTTTCTCTAAACATTAATTAATAAATTTTAAAAATAATCAGTAAATTCGTATTATTTTCGGTAATCAGTCATTGTTGAGCCGACCAGGTGAACAATAAGAAGAGAAAAAACTTGAGAGAAATAAGCACATCTTTAGAAATGCTTTTTTAAGCGCACCAGCCGTGTTATTTCCTCCTAACAAGGCTCTGATGTGACTTTGGTAAATTATGAAATCTCAGTACCTGAACAGGCCATTGTCCCGACATTGAAACTGTTTTTTGGCGTCACGAAAGGGCTATAAAAGACTGAAAATATTCTTTGAGCAAGTACCGTTACCAGACTTCGGGATTCGGTTCATTCGTTTGTATGATATTTAACATTCCTTTATTACCCCACTATGTAGTATAGCACCAATCTCGTTTCAAAGAATATAAACATCTCAATATTATCAATGAAGGGGAACCTTGAGAGCTAAAAATAATTCACAAAAATATTTCCAATGTCACGTTCAAATTGAACGTGGAAGAGCCTAATACTAATCTGAAGTTGTTAGTTGCAAATGTTTAGGGTTGTAGCTTCATAAGTACCAGCTCCTAGCTTCTCCGCTTCCTTTATCCTGCGCTATTGACAACTTATACCGAACCCCGCTAGAATCGTTATATATCACTCAGTAATGAATTGCCAAATGTCCATATATTGTGAAATTTGCAGAATCGAATTGAGTTATTCAAAGAAACAGATGAAATAGGAATATATATAAGTTATAACCATATTGCATGTATTGGGACAGAATATAGGTTGCATTTGAAACATTGACTTGAAATAGCTAACAATATTATTAAGGCACTTAAAAGTCAACTGATCTTCCCACGTTATCAAGATTTCACACTGTTAGAAACCTGAGAATTTAAATATTATTTGTTAACAAATTATGGTCAGAAAAATCTCCTCGTTGGGTGAAATAATATTCTGTGATTTAAAAATCGTTGGATGAAATAAGTAAATTACTGCTTCACTATATATTTAAGGTAAATTGTCAACTATTCATGCCAACTAAATAACACACGCTGAATAAATGTTTATGTTTTTTGAAATTTTGTACTTTTTTGTAGGATTTTAAATGTAATATTGAGAAAACTAATAAGGTGAGGAACATGAGATTCATATAAAAATTAAAATCAGTATCAGAAGCTTCTAAAATATAAATCGTTGATTAATAATAAACTCATACTATATAATAATTTTGGTACTCCTGAAGTATGTGTACCAGGTTAGGGTTAAGCCATAATTTTATTTCGATTTGCCTTTTCGCCTATTTTACATCAATTTGTTTAAAAGGACTGAAATCCATGTACAGGGGGATGGATATGTAAGTATCCATCCATCCCCCTGTCTATAGGTTTCAGTCATTTTACACAAAATGATTTAAAATAGGCTAACGAATCTATTTACCTCCATATTGGTACACATACTTCAGGAGCGCTCTAATTTTTTCAAATAACGTTTGGAAATTTGTAACTTTTTAGTTGGATTTTAAAATGTAATTATAAGTAGAAAGCGATACATGAGCACACAATATATATTTTCAGTTAATTCTTGGTTGAGTCCGCGGTGCAAAATTTCGACATTAAATTGAGTGGCAGGGTAACAGTAAAATGTACAGAATAGAGCGTTTGCTAGGAGGATTTCAATACAACTGGGTGGCATACAGAAGAAATTCTGGTTCTTGCAAGTTTTTATTGAGTTGAACCAAATTGTAAGAAATAGACCGGCCAATTGTGAAGTGAATTAATTGAATAAGGCTGTTTTGAGATTGTTGAGTAAACGATTGTTCAATATTTCCGGAGTTGTAAGAAATAGATCAGCCATGAATGAAGCTGTTTTAGGATTGGCGCCTTGTCTGTTGTTGCTGTGGACTGAATTGTTTGAAAGATTGTTCAATATTTTTTCCTAAACGGCAAATTCATTTTGAATATTTTCATTCAAACACTCCGAATTTTTATTGAAAGCGATTTTGTCAATAAAAAACTTCTTGTTTAATAATATACGAATGAAAACGCCTGTTGGTGCAAATATCTATGTGTAATATGTTCTTGAGCACAAATATTTATGAGCGATTATACCAATCTATGGGAAGATGCCAATTAATCCCTCCTTTTCATAGAGCTTCCAAGTTTTTGTTGGCTCTGGAAAAAGGCTTGCAACGAAGAACAAATTGTATCCGCATGGAGGAGCTGGGTGGAAATTCTTTTGTAATTATCATTCAAATGACGAATTACATCATCAGTAAATAACTCGCAACCAATGTTCCCTCTAATTTTTGTAGTATGTGTGCACAGAAATTTTGGTGTGTGCGCACTTTTTTGGAAATGACTAATATTTGTGCAAAAACCAATGAAGAAATTTTGGCGTTCTAACCGGGTAATAAGTGGGCTTATTAACTTAAGAAAATTTTGGTTATTCAATAAGTTTTTCTATAGATTGTAAATGCTTTAGTGAAGGCTATATGTTATCAGTAGATAACAATGAACATACATGGAAAATAATAAATGAAATTGATTGTAACAGATGGTTTTATTTGTATTCAAATAAAGGGTGAAAAAAGAACAAAAGAACATTGTTACATTACATCGAAATACGTCTGTGCGCAGTAAATCTATGCGTGTGCGCAGCCTCTGAAAGCTGTGTGCGCGCGCACACGCGCACACCTTAGAGGGAACACTGCTCGCAACCTTTATTTTCGTGCGATTTAGCTCCAGTTTTGTATACTTTGTATTTTTGTGACGCTGGTTCGTCGGCTCGAACCGTCAGAGTTGAGTTTAAAAGTCAAACACCTTGCTTTGCCCCTGAAGTTAAATCACCATGGTTGGGAGGGACAAATCCAGGAATATTATTCTCCAATTCTCTGAAGATCATCAGTGATGATAGAGGATACTGAGAATATTTTGGGCTAAAACTCAGTCAATGTACATGTCCTTCCTCTGGATAAGGATCTTGTCCAACAATACCAACTTTGACATTTTCTAATCCACCGTATTCATCACCGATCCAAGCAAAAACTTCTTTTCAAGAGAAGAAATTGTATATTAATATTCCCCCGCCCTTAAGAAGTCACGCAAGTCATTGTCCTCCTTGAACAAATTTCGATTCCCAAACTGTTTTCCGTGATTCCCCAATAAAATGTCAGAATATTCCGGAAAAAGCCGGATTAATTGACATGTGAGAAAACTGTGTCTCAAGTGAGCCAGGTTGCACAAATGTGTCCTGAAGCATAGATTGACCAAGTCTCTCAAGTGGGACAGGTGGTAGTGTCCAATTAATCCCTCCATCAATGCTATGCTTGAATAAATATTCGTTAGCTTGCAGAAAATGTTTACAACCTTTAAAAGGAACGGAATCAGAATTAGCGCGGGGATTATACACAGGGTGGCCACAACACAATACAAGATGTTTTTTCTCATTTATGAAACATTTCTTCATTTGAGCTGGGACACCCCAGAGCATGAATACAATTCCGCTGTAATTATCATTCAAATGTCGAATTACAGCATCAGTAAATACCTCCCATCCTTTATTTTTGTGTGATCCTGCTTCTCCATCTCGAACCGTCAGACATGAGTTCAAGAGCAAAACACCTTGTTTTGCCCATGAAGTTAAATCACCATGGTTGGGCGGTTCAAATCCTCGAATATTAGTTTTCAATTCTTTATAGATCTTTGTTAGTGATGGTGGTAGTGTCTGAAGATCTTTTACACTAAAACTCAGTCCGTGCGCTTCACCTTCTTCATGATAAGGATCCTGACCAATAATAACAACCTTGACATGTTGTATACCGCAGTATTGTGTCCAAGCGAATACTTCTTCCTCGGGAGGATAAATTGTATTTCCAAATTCCTCTTTCTCTTTTGTTAAGAAATCACACAAGTTAATGAAATACTGCTCATATAACTCTGATGCCAATACTGGTTTCCATGACTCTTCGACAGTACTCAAATATCTAAATCGTAAATCAGTATACTCCGGCATCATAGAAGGATTTTGATAATTCTCCACCATAAGACGCAAATGATAATTGGACATCTCAAGCTTCTTCATCATACGACACATATGATAATTCGACATCATAAGGAGCATATGACGATGCTCTATCATAAAACGCATTTGATAATGCTCTATCATAAAACGCATATTATAAGGCGACTCCATAAAACACATATGATAATTCTCCAACATAAGACGCAATTTATATATCTCCAACATAAGACGCATATGATCCTTCTCCATCATAAAACGCGTATCATAAATCGACTCCATAAAACGCGCATGATACTTGTCCATCATGAGACGCATATGAAAATACGCCACCATAGAATTCATTGGATTATTTTACTTCATAGGAGGCATTGGACTATTCGACATTCTAGAAAACAAAATAAGAAAAATTGGAATACAATTTTGTCCCAAATCTAACCTGGTACACAGACTACGTTCCGGTGTCCGCCATCTTGGTGCACATACGACGGGAGCGCAAATGAAACTACATGTTCTTCCCGTAGGCTGTTTCGAGTTTCACTCCAAACAAGGATATTCCAAATTACTATAAAATTATACTCCAAGCGTTACTGAAGCAATTACGCTACTTGATTAGCTAAGTTTTACCGAATTCTCCCGGAATGTATTGGAAAATATGCTGGAAATACGCCGCGCGCAATGAAAAACCACCGGGATTTTCGTTTTTGTTTTCCATCCCGACCCTGGATACATTTTGAATATAATCCCAGGATTAAGTCGTAAAAATATTGCTGACTTGGCGACAAACATCTTTTAAAGATTGTTCTGTACTGACGAATCCGATCGAGACACTAAAAAAGCTGAAGACTCTCGATGCTCTCATGATTTTGCGTAAGTATTAGGAGAAATAAACATGACTGCTATACGGAGTACATACCTTGTTATGGCCCGGCCACTATTTTTCTTTGAATCTGTTTATGTTAGGTTAATCCATGTTATTACCCCAAATTTATTTGTTAATATAACAATATAACCACTAATTATCAATTACGTACCAATATAAACAGAGAAAGTGGGTAAATAACCTAACGCAGGAAAGTATCAGCCTTGAGTTAATGTACGTATCTGCTTATTACTAGACGCGACTTGGTGAACAGGCAATCAGGATTGGTACTCATTGTAAGTTATATAAACTCAATATCAGGAATGAGTTCTCAGCGGTTACTAATGCCATTCGACTGCGAAGAATCAAGCAATTCTCTCCTACATAATCATTGGCGTATCTGGTAAATAAAATACTAAACTGACAACTTCGATGTACATAATTATTCCCCACGGGATTCAAATAACTTAATTAATTATATTTCAATCAGGAGTTTAGCATGTTTAAACAGGGATGTCTTTGCTAATTTATTACAACAGCTGATACCATTCAATTGTTTCTGTTTTATTTGTTCCTTAAATACAAGCAATGCACAAAAGTAAACATATAGATTGAATCACAATCTCACAAAGTAATTAAACTTGAAACCCCCCAGTTTGACAGCCAGAATGTCGAACCAAAACTATAATTGTAAAGTTATAAATCAATGGCTAATTTCTTTTATTGTTGGATTTGATTAGCGGGGGAAACAGGAATTTATTTCTCAACAGAAAACGCGTCTGTAATGAATTAGTATTTTTCGCTTTGATGAGCCATTTTGCACACAACTCTGTCCTGACATATATTTTAATAAAACATACGTTGTAAATGAGATTGTATCAACTATGACCTACTGCCCGGTCTTCTTTTTTTTATTTCACTCTTCAAAATCTACCCTCACTAACGACTCATATTTTATCAAGCCTGCTGCTTGTGCGAAACCGCAGTCGACAAATTGTTCGTTTATAATGAAACTGAGTATTTTATAACCAACATCTGAAATTTTTCTCGGGGTAAATTGAATACTAATTTCGCGACAACCTTAGACGTTCCCATGACGTAATTATTTATTTGTATTCTTTCTATCCTTTGTATTTTTCCTTCTGTCAGCCACACAAAACAAGGGTAAACAAAATCAGATCTCTCATCTTTTATCATCACACGCAATACCTCTGAATTCGTTGTCACACAATATCACGTTAGCAAAACAAAGAAAATCAGGCTTTATCACGAAGCTCTGCCAATTGAGTGAGATAAACAAATTTTTCGAACGGTAATCTGAAAAAAGTTTCGAGGCTGGTCATTTATGATATCCCGAGGGAGGTGCCTTATCCTTTTCGTCGCATTAGTACTAGTCATAATTTACATACAAAGCGTCGATAAATACTTTCAAGAAAGAAAAATTAACCCGACGTCTCACTGGCAGTCAGTTGACGAATAATCCATTCTATTAGGATCACTCCGAGTCCTCGGTAAATGGTGACTTGAGTCGACGACAATTCAATTTCAATAAAGAGATTTAGTTGGTGTATCTGTTTACACCGAATGCAATGATAATCGTGCCAAACATTTCTTTTATTCAAGGACTAAAAGGACATACATTACGCCTCACATTTGTACTTTTACTCCTAACTTTGAAATCATTTTAATACTATCGGTGTATTTTTTTCTGAAGCCAATTATTTTGATTCTGATAACAAATGAAAAATTTAGAGCTTGAGCCATGGAACGCCAGACGAATTTGAGCCGATGCATCCGTACATCAATAAACCTTCAGGGCGACACCTTATGAACGTAAATAAAACGAAAGTATATTTTCAACACCATGCCAATCTCGCTATGGGTCGAGTTTGCATAATTCTGACGTCATTCTTTGTTAAATATATCAAATGCAGTGTTGTATTGTGAACACTAATTGTGCGTGTCAGTATAAAACATTTGCTATATGATTGATATAATTAGAGTTTGATTATTTTCGTGTTGCAATCAATTTCTCGGAGCACTTACAAAAGAAACCGTTTTCAGTTTGTAGTAAACAAGAACAACACTTGCGCACCAGTGATAAGTCAATTTAAACCGGTCCCGTATGGTCAGAACTTGTTGTTATAAGTTGGTGAACAAAATCGGTGCTTAATAAACGGTATCAATTTTCTCTAACAACAAGACCTTGGACAAGCAAACACTACTATGTAGGAATGAATTATGCTTTCCAAAAAGTTCTTAATATTTTTAGTAAGTTACACGGCTTACACAGCGGACAATAGTATGTGAGAATCAATTCCGTAGTATTTTGAGTATATTACATAGTCTACTCAATTCAAATGAGTTAGTGAAAAGGTATATTTTTCACCCTGCTACGTTGATATGGGGGGTGGGGGGTTGGGTCCAGTGACCATTTCTAATTTGCCACTTATTCAGATTGCAGATCAACAAGAAACAATGGTTAAGATGGGACAAAAGTGCTTAAAATAAAATCATGAATATTATAAAATAACTAGAATTCACTAAAATGAATAAATTATGTTCAAATTCAATTTATAATCGTTCGCAAAAAAATGGTTTGAAAAATCAATTCCAATTATTGGACAGAACATGTGATTATCGGGGCAAAATTGATTCTGGATTTGCAGTCTGCACTGAGTTACACTTGAGTTCGTACTCCCATGTTACATAATTAATGTTGACTCTCAAATTATGCCGTAATTATATTTTGAGTAACCGCTTGGGTATTTCCCCAGAATTAGTACAAAGGCTTCAATTTAAAACAAACATTTCAACTCAAATATTTGTTTGAATTTTAATCAAATAAACGAGCATTTAAATTATCACGAAGGCCTATCTTATCTATTTCTGTCAGTTGATTCAGCTGTTACTCATTATTCTGCCAGTGATGAAAATACGAAACGTACATTGTACAGTGTAGAATAAAATAAGAATAACATTTTATGGTGAAGAGAGACGCGACAGTACTGGTTATAGAGAACTTTGACTGGGGTCTAACACAACATGGAAAGAAAGGATTAGTTAAAAAGTAGAAAACCTAAAATAAATATATATTAGAAACAATATACACAAATATATTTCTATGTTAAAAAGGCCTGTAACGGTCTGGGCGATCCAGAAACCCTCGTTGGTGTGAAATAGAGACTCCAATAAATATGAACACAAACTAAAGAAAACCTATGAAAAATGTATTTACAACCCTCGAATCATTTGAGATAGTCATCTTTATTCTATCTATGTATGCTTGTATTCCAGGGATACACCATCGCAAAGTCGCAGAAAATATAGTCAAGCAATACATCCGGACCCTTATTGATGACTGTTTTCAGTTTGATAAAAAAAAGTTTCAGAAAGCAAACCGTATTGCGACTTATAATCACATACGAAAGTTGAGTGTTATTCGCAATCTAAACAAACTAATCAAATACAAAAAAATAAATTGGAATACAGGGACCGTGTGAATATAAATTGCTAGAATATTTAGTCTCATATAAGCAGACAACAACAAAAATTAGTCAGTTGAGTTACGAATGCCAACTTTTGAATGTCATAAGGCTTAGTAAATAAAACTCAGCACCCACCATCGGTACATATTATGCAAGTAGAGACAATCACACAATAAACACCATAAAGAGTTTGAAACATTCCAATACCGTGTCACATGACACGTCCCGTTGTGCTGTTATTGCTCCAAAATGCTTTGTTTTTAACTCTTTCAGATTTTAAACATTGTATCAGTGAAATGGGACAAGAGCAATCTTCTATTGGCAAAGTGGCGGTGAGTGATCTACCAGCGCAACCTTGCACGCTCGCGCAAAACATTCAAGAAGTTGATCCATATGAAATCGAAGACTGTGTCGAAGAGGCCAGAGAAAATAACACGTATTACTACATCGGATATGCTTCTAGAGTAGATACCCGCTACATATGCGACACTCGTCCAAAGAGCCAGGAATGGGGAGACAAGTTTCAGAAACATATGACGTATTTCGCCAAAATTTCGTCAAGGTATGGAAATGTCACAGAGGCCAAACTCATCCAGAAATACAAAAAATACATGAACGACCCACTTTGCGTCAACGCGAGAGCTGGAACGCATTCCGAAATAGGATATGTGTATGTACTTATTGGTCAGTGTTCCGAATATGAGCAATGTGTTATCATTTAATCGGGTTTATTATTTAAAAATCATTTGTGAATGTAATTTATTTAAAAAAATTTAACAGATAATATATTGAACTCATATCAATGAGTAAGTGTTGGTCTGATGTACCTTAAGGTGTCCGCTCTTATAGAGATTTATTGCAACCCGAAGTAGCAATTCTATAGCAGACTGATACGCCTCTTTAACGTACAAAATTTAACACTGAATTTGAAATATTTCACAACAGATTGTCATCGTATTGAGAAAATACTTTTGTTTTATTTGCTTCTCGCGTATTGAACAAATTTGTCCGTAAGGCGTCGCACAGCAAATTTATTGTTCTGAATTTTTCGTTTGGTATTCAATCGAAAAAATTGATTTTAGAGAGAAAGTCTTCAATATTATTAAAATGATTTCAAAGTTTGAAGTAACAGGGTGTATAACGTCAATTACCCGATCATAAAAAGTTTTTCACGATTATCGTTGCATTCAGTTTTTATCAACAAATAATTGTTAATTTATAACCCGCCATGTTTATACAACCATACACTCTTCACTGACTTGCGTGTTGAATAAATCAGCCACGTCTAAAATATTCATTTTTCATCATCGCAATGAGATTATTCTGACCAGTTACGCGTTTGACTCTAAGTATTGTGGAAATCAGTATGATGACAGAATCTTCATTTACCACTGATAAGATTAGTCGGTCTTCATTGATTCCTGGTAATGGAGAGACGAAACTGGTGAAAACACCCATGCCACACCCTCAATTAAAAATGCTAATGAAAACCTATCTTGGTCCATGCATATGGAATGAGACAATCAAGCCCTTGTGTTTTATTGGTTGGACTCAACTATGTTTACTAAACTTACCATTACTATCGATCTTGATCGGTAAGTATTTTGATAGATATTTGCCTGTTTGTTTGTTTGTCTGTTGTCTGTTAGACACTTTCGTATGTTACGCGATATCTCACGAAAGCGCTCCAATTTTAGCGTGTGCATTCATCATATCTCGGCCAAAAGCCTATTGATTTTGGATGAATTATATCGTATAATTAGCGAATTAATATTTAATTAATTATTTGATTAACTACTTTTTTTTCGGAAGCTCGATAAGTCGGCGGTCTCCTATCGATACCTCGTTAGTATATTTCTGTATTGTGCCTCTTACAAACAAAACACGTGAAAGATACTTTGAACGCGAAATGCGTCGTTTAATCTGTTATATTTTTTTTTTGTGTTTCTGTAATGTTTTACTGATTTTAAAAATGATCACTAATTTCAACTCGACTCATTCTGTCATTCCTGTGACGACCGGTTGTACAATATGGACCGGTTGTACTGGAGAGAAAAGATCGCTCCTTTATAAACGCTTTTTCATATTTACCTACCCTGCTTTAAGCTCTGTTTATTAGTTGTATTTTTTACAATAGAACGTGGCAATGAAATATTAACACGTAACGGGAACCTATTCTTAGACTCTGAATGTGCTGGAAATTGGACTAGGCATGACAGGACAGATCGGATCAAAATAAAATAAGTGAGGTGGAGTATGAAATAGCTCTGAATATATTAAAGTTTCAGGCAAACATGAATTATTTCATGGACAAAGTTTTATAAGTTGTCTTCCGTTAGTTTCCCTGCCTTCATTCCTTCGTTCTGCATTATTTGACTATTTATTGGGAATGTCTCCTGCATATCCCAATCAGAATCGTTATATATCACTAGTAGTGAGTTGCCAAATGTCCACATTCGGTTAATTTGCACAATCGAATCAATTTATTTCAAAGCTATGAACTTGGATTTGAAATCTATCCCAACCAAGTCCTAGCATCTAGGTGGTCAAAGGTTGTCGGCATCGCGGGCCACACTATTTTTTTTTGTATTGTTCGCGGGCCACAATAGTGCCAAGAATAGATTAACAGTGCAATAAAAAACAAAAACTTTTATTTCCCAAACACATTATCATTATTTGTTATTTATCAAGCTATAACAAGCTAGAAAAACACCAAAAAACTCAATGAAACGTGCAAAAATCCTACTGTAAATACATTTAGTGTAAGATTTCGATATCTTCATGACGGAGAAAAGTTTAGTTGCAATAATCGAAAATTTAATCCGCAAATACTGCGATGGACTAGTTGAAATTACCTGCCAGTACCTGCAAGTGGCACGCGGTTAAACATTTTTTAATAAATATAATGATTTTGAACATGTACACCAGTTTATAAGTGCCAACTCTCCGAATTACTCTCAAAATATGCATACAAAATTTTTCGATAAAAAAAATTTCCTGGGGTCAAGGGTCGGAGAAACATCGATACTGTTTAGGCTGGTTGCAAAAAACATCCGGCAGGATTTATATTATTCGGCCATAACATTAATATTTAGTTATCAGTAATAGCCAACCTAGACTGATAGTTTTCTCATTCGATTTTTAGTTTTCTATGAAACGTGTTTAATTAGCATATATTCACGACCAAAAAGATTGAAAGCCAGTTAACAATTTAGACCAGCCAAGCGCATTATTCAACTTATCTAATTGCTAAACTTATCTAATCATCAAAAGATTATTCTGATTATTTTTATAACGAAACAACATCAAATGCGATTTTACCCTTTCCGCAAATGCCACGCGGGCCACAGATAATGAAGCGGCGGGGCACAAGTGGCCCGCTCGCTGGGTTTGGACCACCCTGATCTAGGGTAAACTAAATTTCCCGGTTAAAATCATTAGCATAGCCATATAACTAGCGATGAGATTTAAAATATTGACAGCATTGCTCACTTGTTACATTTTCTGAAAAATCCCAAATTCCTAAAAATATACACCAGCTTAAATTGAATTCGTAATCTGCAACATTTTAATACACACAAATAATCAGAAAAGAATCATGGCGGTTATTTACAACAGAAAGATCAAGCAATTAGTGGTCTTTGCCTCTTCATATTGAAAATTAAAAAGTGAATTTCATGCAAATTCAGAGCTTTTTCCACGTGCTTAGATTACTAATGGTGAGGAACTTCAAGATTATATACGTTAGGCCCCTCAACGAAATAAAAAATAAAAGTTCCGGAAATCATAAAACGTAGTTCTTGAAAAAGAATTTTTGATCCAACTGGGTTCAAATATTGATACAGACGGATTGTGGTCAATACATCAGCTTGTACATATTAATCATTTGCAATGATCTAGCATTGAATTCGATTGACGCATTCGAAGTGTTTCATTAACGTGTTTTTTTTAACGTTCTAAGCATCGAAAAAGGTTTTCGATTGTTATGGCGGTTTATTAGTTTATTGAGTATATCATTAGGAAAGCCTGTAAGATCAAGAAAAATTAAATAGTAATTAATTCAATGCAAACAGCCGACGGAAAAATTTTTTTATTCTTTCCCATAACGATCCGTTTTGGGGAATTTCATTGCTTGTCACAATTCGACTATCAACGTTCTCAGCATTTTTTTTTTTCATTTTTTCCAACGATTCGTCAAATTTTTCTTTTATGACTGACTCAAATTCTTTGATGATATGTGATCTGAGAAAGAACTGCGTCGCGCTCGAAGACAAGACATCCAAAAATTTCCTCTTGATTTTTTCGTAATGCGAATCCAGTTCATCCATGTCAAAATAACGATCGTTCATCATCTGAAATTTTGGTTTAATATAAAAAAAAGGATTTTTTTATACGCTGCCTTACAAGCTGCCGCTCATACGTAAAAAACTACTATTATTTGCCAGGACTGGCTTTTTTACGGTTTGGAATTGCGTGCCCAGTTTATTAAACCTTCGGTTAGGTGTGGGGGGGGGGGGGGGCATGGGATTTGAATGCGAGATGTGTAATCTGCGATTCCAACACACTTAAGTCTAACGCTAACAATTGGGCCATCGCACACACAAATATTATTTACTATGAATTATTTGTTTGAATGATTCCAATCAATCAACTTCCGTATCGATTTCAGAATTGTGAAAAAACATTCTGCTCATTGTGCAAATAGCGCACTACATACCTCCTGTAGCCTTTCTTCTTCTGCAAATACTTCTTCTTCAATCATACAAGTCAGCTCCGATATCATATTTTCCTGCATAACACAGATAGTACATTTGAAGATTGATTATATTTTATCCACAATTTCGTCGAACCACTGAGGTGAAGGAAGCTATTCTGTAACATGATTTTATAAGTTTACACCCACCTTAGTTTTGTTGTTTTGTTTATTCGCTTTTTCTTTTCTTTCTTTGATCATCTCCTTCAATTTGTCAAAATATTCTTTCAGAGCGATGAAGCAGCCTTCGTAATATTCTTCCAGTTTGTCGCGATGTTCACTTTCCATGTTATCTCGCATTTGTTGTGGAGTAATTTTGTTATCCTGGCGTAAAAACAACACAATTGGTATATGAGTTCGTCAACGAGTGTTTGTTTTAATCATTATCGGATAATGCAACAATTTTTATGTTACAGCTTGACGCAAAAAAAAATATGTGACTCGATCACCCAAAACATTAAAATATCTGATGCAAACACGACTAAAATTGCACCTGATTTTGACAACAACTTTCATCTACGCTCCATAATTGATCTCAACACGAAAGATATTAATAATTAGGTGACACACACCGACGCGAAAGTTAATTATAATCTGGGAATTGTAAAGTAAATATCAGACAATTTTTGGTGACTTTTTTGGAGTAATCCAATGAGATTATGTTCGTTTTCGGATAGAATAGAATTTTTATATTTATCTCAGGACTCATGCGTGCGGAGTCGATAAGGCGACATCGGGGCGAGCAGCGCAGAAATAAACCACTATTGGAATAAAGAGAATATTAATTCAGATATTTATTGGATTTGATTAATTGCGACGTCCGTTGTTCAACGCCACACTAATGTTAAAAATTTGATCAAATTGTACTATTGGTATTAGGAAGATGCGAGAGAGAAAATTTCAACGCATGTTTTGACTTGTAGACAATTATTCTATTTAAAGTAAAACCCTTCAATAATTTGCTACTTAGTTCAGAATTCTCACAAGGTTTTTCTGCAGTTCCTCTGCGTATTTACAAATGATTTTCTCGACCACGTCATAACAGAAATGCTCTTTTTCTGGTATGTCTTTCTGAAAGTCAATAATTGAAACAATTCGTGAATAAACACCTCTGGTAATGAGGAACATTTCACTATTGCTGTTGTATAAATTGTTTTGTAATTTATCTGCATAAGAGATTACCGTGCTTGTCTATGATTATGAAGCCTTTAACATGAAATGTTAAGAGCAAATTTAATTTTAAAAACCTTTTCCTCTTCATTTTTGATCGGACGGCGAGAAATCTGTTCTTTCAACGATTCTGAATACGTGGTCTGAATAAAGTTGTTTCCAGTTAGTTGGGTGAAATATCAACATATTTATTTGCTTTGTTTTACATTACAGTCTTACTTTCCTAGACGCTGCCAATGCTCTTTTGTACTCTACTTCAAGCCTGTGTTCCAGTTTATTGCTGTATTTCAGTTCGATGTCCGTCAATGCGTTTTTACGATATTTGATTTCAATTTTTTTCTTTATCTCTTTATGATGCTTTGCCATGTCAGCAACAGCTTGATATGTCGACAATCTCTAAATATAAAGATGATTTATCTTCGTTACACTGCGTTGAAAATCTAGAATCACCTCGAAGTGTTTTCCCAATATCGAAGTTATTCACCTACCTTTCTCCATTTTTTGCCGCATTTAAAGTCCAAATCCCGAACTAGCCAATACAGGCCCGATTTTCTTACGTCCTGGAGAAAGGAGTAAATGTAAGTTCTATGTACAATTGCCATTGACGACTGTTCAATCAAAGAACATATAATTTTTCTGCGCATTGGTGGGCATAAGCAGCCATTCTACACAAAATATTGAATACTGTACTGGAACAAGCATAACTAAAAAGTTGGATGAATATAAGATTTACCTCGCTTTGTGATTTCTTCATGTCAATTCTTTGTTTGTTTTCGAAACGGATTTTCAAATGAAGGTCATTAACCTCACTCTGAAGCTCATCTGCGTTTATAGCATCTCCGTATCCATTGCGTACTTTTTCGAATGTTCGCGTGTGGTGTTTCATCAATTCTATTGGTTCTACGCAGTCATTTGCGAGAAACTGGAAATTAATATTTTTGTGTTATGAAACATCCAATTAAGATCTACGAGCAGTAAAAAGCTGACGTAAACTTACCAACTGCATTTCTTTTTCATATTCGCAAATTGCTTTTCTAGTTTTTCTTTTTTTCACTAGCTGAGCGGCATTCTAGTATAAAAATATGAAAAGTTGGCTTTTAAGATTAATTTAGAGACGTGGAATTTGCCATTATCTGACGCTGTTCTGCGTTCTCGAAATACGATTAATGCCAAATAAATTCATATTGATTTGAGTAAAGCAAGTCTCAGATTCTTCCCCATGTTGTCCATAGAAAAAAGTCTAAACAAACCAATGCACTGCGGTACGACAATATGAAATTGCGCCAGTTGGGAGATTGTTTTGCGCAGCGAAAAGAGTTTGGAGTAGCTCGGTGAACAGGTCAACAGTTTTCTAGTTGGAAGCACCGCTTTATACCGCTGAAACGAAGGCTTAGAAAAACGAAGTGACCATGCGACCATAAGAAAAGTGAAGGATGGACGACTGGTCACTACCAAAGTCCATGAGTTAGGAAAGCTAATTCTTTTCTATTTATCTAAACTGATACCATTATTATACAAAACGCTCACTAGAAGAAAGTCGTCATTTGACAAGAAATGGGGTCTATTATCAATTCTTCTTTAGCGAAGATCGAGGTTACCATAACTCGGTCGGTGGTTCGCAACCTATTGGCAACATTGTCTGAAACTGTTTTAAGTTTTGACTCGGCGGTATATAATAACATTTCTAGCGGACTGAACGCGACTTTAATAATGTGCGACAGTTTCATAATATTGATCTAGTCCTGGGATGTGCAACTATTTGACCCGCGGGCAAATGCGGCCCACTAAGAAAATTTGTGTGACCTGCGGAGAAGTGCCCATTTTGAATGGTGTGTCAGCAAAACAAGTTTTTAATTTAGTTTAATCTAGTAATCTCGCTGGAGCTTGTGTGGAGCAAACAGGGCATGTCATAATAACAATACCCAAAGTTTTGTGCCTGCAATTACTTGAAAGCCAGTGTTGAATAAAGGTGCAGCCCGCGCTTTGCAAGATTGTATTCTGTATTAAAGGTTGTACACCCCTGATCTAATCCACCATTGCCAAAATTTCACCCTGATTCCGGCCCTGCGTTTAAATATTATTGGTTGGAATAAACAATTATTTGTGGTTTTCGGGATTACCATTATACCTTCAGCGCATTGTTCTTCCGAGTCGCAGTATCAAAGTGATCTTCGCATATTTTACCAAGGTGGGCATGATAATGCTTTCGAAATTTTCCGTCGCCCATTTGTTTCGTCAGCTCAAACACCTTCAGAGCATTTTTCTTCGCATCTTGATGATACTTTTTCAATTCTTCATCATTCATGACATTATCGCCGGGAAAAATTTTCTATAAAAGAATGCTGTCTAATTTTTCAAAAAAAAATGACTCAAGTCATTAGGTGGAGCTTTATTTGTTTATGGTTTGCTGTTCGGCTAATTGTTTAAGTTATTCGTGGCTTAAGCTTCTTTTCCACCTTTACCTCGTGACCAATGCACGTGAATATCTGGAATGGGGGTTATTGAATATTAAAGCAAAAATATATATTGAAAATTGCGGTATCATCTTGATTAGTCATGATCATCTGTTTAAACATTCAAGATAACTAACTAATCCTTGTTTGCAATAAATAACTCGATTCGTAAATTTACATGGCATTGTGGGTATGTGAATATATATCTATATATTTATTACTGGTTTTAACAACACACTTCATTCTGAGCTTAAAACATTCCGATGAAAGCAATATTAAATGATTTAAATAGGGGGGCGGCAACCCACGGCCCGCGGGTCGCATCCGGCCCGCGGAGCAATATAATCCGGCCCGCGACGCTTCACTGAATTATATTATCAAAACAGCCGTTTTGTGGATTATATTTTTTACACAACTGAGTTTATTGTGAGACACGTGTAGACTAAATTATATTATAACCTAACAAGTAAATATTTCACAAATACTCGTTTTAATGAGCCTGTAATTTAATTATGATTGGACAAGTGGCAACAAAATGCAGAAAAGTTGATGCTATTTGCAAATGGCTTAATGGCGCAGAAAATATTCAAATGGCCAATTTTTGCGCGCTGATAAAAATTTAGCTTCTGATCCGTGCGAAGAAATGTGATTTATCGGCCATATGTTCGGTTTTTAACTTTCTAAAAATATGTGCACCACGCCAATGACTTGCAACCTTTAATTTTCACCCGCGATCGACAAAAGGTTGCCGACCCCTGATTTAAATCAAAAATCACTTTGTTTAATATATATTTTTCAAACTCCATAGTTATGACATTACCTTCATGGCTTCGTCATATTCAATTATGGATTCTTCGTATGCGGTGGCGTAATACGACTTTATATTCACCTGAAATTGATGAATGGATCAAACATCTCTTGATCTTAAGATGTGACTGTAGAGTGTGAAATAGGATGTTTCATATTTATTGGGGAAGGGAAATCGAATTAATCTCATAGCGATTCAAAGCTTTTCGTCCGGTTACCATATCAGTTCGGAGATCACCGGTTTATTGTTTCAGATGCATTGATTATTATGGAGGAGGAAAATGAGAATTAGAAAGAATCAGCAATTTACGTCAGCTGTCCGATTTCCTCGCGAGGCTTCCCAAGTTCGAATTCCGCAGGATATAATTGTGTCAAAAAGAATTGTTGGAGCTTAAAACTTGATCTGTATTAATAGTTGTTGTCTAAAGTTTACTCTAAACAATAAATATAAACAAATAAGAACAATATGTGTAAAAAAAGATTTATTTATTTACTTTTGATGGCGCGTCTTGAAATATTGAACAAGCTATTCATTTGAAAGATTTTAAGTAATACCAAACAATATACTCGTACCTCAATCATGTTCTCTGGTTCGTAGACTCTGCAAGCAAATATTCCATCAGAAGCGATTATCATGTTGAGAATATCTCGTGCTGTTAGTGCCTTCTTGTTTGATTCTTTGCGTTGCAAACGGAAAGGAAATGCGATGAATTCCACGAACGATTTGATTTGCTGTCTGAACTCTGGTTCAAGTTCTGTGAAATTTGAAATGAAGTCAAGTATGCAAACAAAAAAAATAAGTTTAAAGTAGAAACCATCAAAAATGAAATTTGAAGCTGCTTTATAGGGCTATTCTGTTTATCCTATCTTTGCTGGTTGTGTGGTAGCCCATGGTAAGGGTTACAGATGTCAAATATTGAATGAAATATAAAATATAAGACAGGGAAGCTACACTTAATGACACATCTGATAAATTGCTAAACGAATTTCAAAATTTAATATGACAAATAAAACATGACATTTTGGTGCAACAACAAGAAATGATAAACTCTTATGAAGTTTACAAAATTGTTTCCCTTTTCTATGATTAATTTAATTCGAAACAGAATTCAAACGAGCCCGACATAATTTGCATTTTCTCTACAAAACACTACTTAATCTTTCTGTTACTGCTGGTGAGACGAAGCAAATTTTATTTTGCAAATTACTTTGCAATACTTATTTTCTATTGTTATACAGGGCAACCTCGGAACCCTCAAATTTAGCAATAACTTTCATGAAAATGGTGTAAATCATTTTGTTAACTATTAAATTTTTTAACCTTTTTGTTTTAGGTTTACGCTGTTGATAGGAGCTGAATGCTTCCAGTCATTTCTTTCCTCCTTCTTTTTCATTGGCCTTTGCCAATATGATATGTTTGTGTATGGTTGTATTTTCGTGAATCTATAGGACGTTTTGCACAAAAGTTATGTTATCTCTAGGATATGTTCCAATTAACTATTTATCAATGTAGATGGACTTGTGTGTCGTAGTTTTCTGTTGAATAGCACTTTCTAATTTATGTGGTGCCTGGGCATGCCGATAGTAAAAATATCAATTACCTGGGTACCACACACCCGAAGGAAGTCTTTCATAGATTGTTATTCCCGATAAAGCGCGCAGCATGTTTAATCATTGTGAAACATTGCATTACAGGTCCGTATATGTGTGAAGACGAAAATCAAACGGTGAATATGGAACATTATCTAATCTATCATATCTAATCACGCCTTTGAATGATTGACAGAGCGATTTCAGGAAAAGATGATCAGTTGGAATTGTGACGTCGAGCGGTAGATCATTCATCGGACTTGCCCCCCCATCATCCTAACCATAGGGACATTCGAAGACCAATTTGTATCAGAGCATTTCTCAAACAATTGGTGATCTCGAAACTGCAATTCCAGCATGAATATATGAAAATTCTCATAGAGGAGTGCATGTTATTGATTGACATTTTTGCGTAACGCCTCGGATATCTAGTGGGTGATTTGGAACATATTCTAAATTGAACATAACAATTGTGCGATTGTGATTACTCGAACTTTTGGATACAATCATGCACAAACAGAAGTAAGCAATATTTAAAAAAAATTTCTTCATTTTTGTAAAAGGTTTTAAAACTTTCATGGGTTGCGTTTTTTCTGGGATCACCCTGTACTATAGTTACTGTTACTTTGCGTTTCAAGTACCTGCATTTGTGCCCTGAAAAGCTTTTTTTGGTACACCAAGACCAGGATGCGGTAGAAGTGAACAGCTGACATTGTTAAAGCTTTCTTTAATTTGTTTTCTTATAGTTATCTGCTTGTCATCGCCATCTTTTGAGTCAAAGATAGTTTGCATATATTTCTCGCCTCCTTCTTCGCCGTATTTGAAAGGTTCGTCGCCATCGTGGTCTCTGACCAGAAAGTTCAAGGCTTGTAACTGAAATTTCGGGACATTAGCGTGATATATTTAAACAAATAAGAATTTTATGAATCCTTCTCTAACCTAGTATCATTTTTAGGGTCTTTTTAGAATTGTTCATTATCGTCCACCATTAGGTCCTAAAACGACAGTCGTGGCTTTGTAAAAGCGTATGCTAGAGTTCTTTTCCACGGGATGACGCTAAAAGGCGCGTGTCCAATATTTTTTTACATATGCGACATCATGTCCAAAAAGTAAATTTGAACTTGGGTGTTATTGCGTCTGATAGAAGGTTAGGTACTAGTTATAGGTAACTAATAATAATTGGATCGTTTTCTTGCATTACTTTCCAATAAAACAGTACCAAAATCATTATCATAGCTAAAATAGCTACTGATAAATTCACAACTGTATTTACGAAAATTGGAAATTCAACAATTCACTTGATGATTTCATAACGAATGTAATAATTCTCGAATATAATTGGCGCAGAAAGTCGTAAACAACCCAATGTGTGTCGTCACAACGACATTAAGGAATGCTTCCACGTTCTATTCTTATTACTTATTGATCTCGATAAGTAGTTATTTGTTTGTTTGTTTGTTTGTTTGTCTGTCTGTTAGACGCTTTCGTATTTTACGCGATATCTCACGAAAGCGAGGCTGAATCTGATCAAAACAGCATGTGCCATCATCATATCCCGAACCAGAAGTCTATTGATTTTGGATGAATTATGTCGTATAATTAGCGAGTTATTAATTAATTAATGATAGGACACCCGGTGTCGATATTGAGTCAGAGCGAAGGAATCGAAATCGCAGTACGATCGATAAGTCAGCGGTCTCCGATCGCTATCTAGTTTACAATTTTATCACCCCACCACAATGCACGTTAGAAGAAAATCTTTCTGAAAACACTACAGTGCCAAGGATGGATCATTTAAAACACATACTAATCCAATACAGAGTCGCTATGAGGGAGGTAACTGACTTCGTTATTATCTGGGTCAGGGTGGTCCAAGGTTGTCGCCTTCGCGGGCCACAAAATTATTTTTGCATTGTTCGCGGGTCACAATAGTGGCGAAAATATATAAACAGCAAACACTTTTATTGTGCAAACGCTTGATCCTTGTTTGTCATTTATCAAGCTAAATCATATAAAATACGCCAGGAAAATCACTGAAACATGCAAAAATTTTGCTATATCTACATTTAATGTAAGATTTCAAACTCTTCATAACGGAGAAAGTACTCCTGCAAATGTAAGTGCTCTCGAACATCGATGCGGTTCTCAGAGCAAAATCCCTCAAAATTTGGAAATGCTCATTGCTCACATGATAGCAAAATGACGTTTCAGATTATATTTGCCATAACTGCTGAATGATTGATTATCATATTTTACCAAATGTAAGGTACAGAAGAGTAATTACTAATTTTTCTGAAATATTAGAAGCATTTTTTGTAATACTGTTTAGGCTGGTTGCAAAACATCAGCGGAACGAATTATATTCTCAGGCCATGACACTAAAATTTAGTTATTATATAACTGTTGGAATATATTCCCAACCGAATAGATAGAAAGCCAGTGAACAATTTGGACCACCCAATCACACTCAATTCAACTTCGCTAGTTGCTTCAGCTAGCCGCGACACTAGTCAATTCAGTGACATTAGTGATGTAACAGATGTCAAAAAGATTTTCTGTTATTTTCATGACGAACAACACCAAATGCGATTTTTTGATTACCCTTCCGCAAAGGCGACGCGGGTCACAGATAATGACGCTGCGGGCCACATTTGGCCAAGGGCCTGGGTTTGGACAACCCTGATCTGGGTTAAGAAACCTCTGACTCAGCATTTTCAAATCGACACTATTTATACTTCGGACAGTTTCTGACGATGCTATAGCGTTTCATTGCTTGTGTTTACTGCAGACGTCCACGATAAGACGTATACGTATAAGATATTAACTCTTATTAACCATTCAAATTGGAACCATACATGAATACCCAAACAAGTAGCATAGCGAAAATAACAGATTTTAATTATAATAAAATACTAAAATCATAACAGTACTATAATAATAGTATCAATAGTATACCTTAAATAATGGATCGTCGGAACGTGCGGTCTCCTTTGCAAACTCGACACAAGTCTGAAAGAGTAACGATTGAAAATGCTTAAACAAATCGTGTTAACTTTGTTATTAGTCAAACATTTTGTAAAATTATCCTAGGGCCTAGGCTAATTAGTGGTTGATTAGGATACCAATAGGTATGAGCAAGTTACCTCAAAAATCGAGAATCCATGTTCATGAACAGTTGACTTTGTATCATGCATATCAGGTTATATTGCTACGTAGTTTGCCTTGTAATTGATAGTAAAGTCTATATTATTTTATTCGAATGAGTAATTTGACGTACAGTTAACGCATGTTTGTGGTGATTGAAGAAAATAGTAGATAATAAAGTTACCTTCAGGTAACTCAAGTCTCGAGTATCCAGCACTCTATTGGTGTTGAATATTTGCAAAGAGCTTGCTAACGTACTCAATGTGAGCAAAGATATGTTGACGTCCTCCGGTGTTGCATTGTCAAATAAGCCTTGCGTGTCCATTAATAATACAGCCATCTTAACAAAATGTTAGGTTTATTATATTCTATTATTCTATTTGTAGATGGCTCATTATACATACATGCTTGGAAATTTAACGAACGATTATTTATTACATATTTAAGGTAAGAAAAATGTCAGGCATTTGAATATTCTGTCACAACTAGCATTATGATTGAATAAATTTATTAAATAAATTTATTTCCCCAGATCAATGGAAACGGTTTACATAAAATTGGGCATACAGTTGCGTGTATGGTCCATACCTTTTAAACTTAGTTTTGTACAAATGGTTTCTGTAATTGGTCATTATCTGAGTAATACAGGAACTTCAGTCATGCTTCAAATGAATATGGATTTGTTTTGACATCGTATTTGCTATCGTAAATATATATATCTGCATCATCAACAAAATAGTGTTGAAGATTGGAATTGTAATCTCAAAGGTTTAAAATTGAGTTTTATATTAAGTGGGCATTACTATTTGTTTTGCCTTGGATAATAAAGGCGCGAGAGTCGATAAAATTCATCATAAAAACTACATTATTTTTATTACCCCCGCCAGCAAAGCTTATAAGTCAGGTAATTTTTCGATCGTTTATCTGAGTAATACAAAAACTTCAGTCATGCTTCAAATGAATATGGATTTGTTTTGACATCGTATTTGCTATCGTAAATATATATATCTGCATCATCAACAAAATAGTGTTGAAGATTGGAATTGTAATCTCAAAAGAATTTTTTGCCAATACAACATTCGATGATAATGTTACAGAGCCCAACAATCCGTACCCGAAGTCATTAAGAATAGCTAGCAAATGGACACCTCCATCGGGCCGAAACTCGGATCTGGATCATTTCGCCAATACTATCAAACGGGAAATAGGCAAAAAGACACCTGAAAAATATGCTTACCCTAATTTAAATAAAGATGAAATTATGACACTAAAAGAACTCGAAGGACGAGCAGCATGAGATATCATTATAGTTCCGGCCGATAAAGGAGGAGGTATTTGCATTCTATCCCGAACTGACTATGTCGCTGAAGGGATGCGTCAATTAAATGACAAATCGGTGTACCGACTTCTGCCGAAAGATAAGTCAAGACAAATTGGAAATGATGTTATTAATCTTTGCTCAAAAATGAAGGAAGCTGGAGTAATAGACGATAAATTAGCTAAATCAATCCTTCCAAAAGACCCCAAACCAGGTCGCCTACGCCTCCAACCCAAGATACACAAAGAAAATCACCCTAGTCGTCCCATAATATCAACGAATGGCAAAGCAACAGAAAAACTTTCGGCCTATGTAGATTATAAACTGACTCCGCTCATGTGTAAAAGAGTTATACCCTCATATATTCGAGACAGCATGGATTTCTTAAATCATTTACAAAAAATCAAAACAATAGGACAGGAATCTTTACTAGTGAGTATGGACGTAGTCTCCCTCTACACAAACATCCCCCACAACGATGGCATAGAAGCAATGGAAAAATACCTCAACAGATTCAGCAAAGACAAACAAGAAATCCCCTGGATAGCAAAAGCAGCCAACTTAGTCCTGACAAACAACAACTTTGTTTTTGACGAACAACATTACCTTCAAATTCAGGGAACTGCGATGGGAACAAAATTGGCACCCAAGTATGCAAACATTTTTATGGCAAACCTGGAATCCAATTTATTAGACAAAACCCCTTTAAAACCACAGTACTATTGCCGCTTTATTGATGATTGTTTTCTTATATGGACACATGGCAAAGAGAAACTATCAGAATTTGTTACCTTAGCAAATTCTTTACATCCAACAATCAAATTTACATTCGAATGCTCAACAAACTGGATTACGTTTTTGGATGTTAAGGTTCATATCATTAACAACAAATTGGAAACGGAAATCTTCAGCAAAGAAACCGACTCGCACCAGTATCTTTCGCCATCGTCCTGCCACCCTAAACATGTCACTAAAAATATTCCAAAAAGTCTATTCATCAGAATAAGAAGAGCCTGTTCAACAAATGAGCTCTTTGATAAACATGCAAAAATAATGAAAACATACCTCACGAAGAGAAACTACAAAGAAAATTTAGTTGACGATGCAATTCAATCTGCAAAAGAACTCGACAGAAAACTCCTTTTAATCCCAAAAACTGAAACTGAAAAAGAAACTTTGCTTCCCTTCATCACAAACTATCACCCGACCCAACCAAACCTTCGAAAAATATTTTCAGATTACCAATACATTTTAGATAACAACGATAGACTAAAAGAAGTTTTCCCAGAACCTCCAAGATTAGCCTATCGTAAATGCCCCACACTAAGGGACAAATTAGTCAGAGCAAAATTGAAACCAGAAACTCCCGTTAAAAAGAATCCAGGCTTTTTCAAATGTGGCAGAAAATCGTGCAGTACCTGCCAATATTCCGAAGAAAGGAAAATTGCAACAAACAAACAGAAGACAGCAGAAATAAGGATTCGTCAAAAAGTTACATGCAACTCGGAAAATGTAATCTACATGATAAGCTGCAAAAAGTGTGGCATGCAATACATAGGAGAAACGGGAAGACATTTAAAATACCGAATAACTGAGCATATTAGAAGTATAAAAACCCAAAACAAAGATCTGGTTGTTGGCGCCCATTTCAGTCAACCGGGACATTCGCTTAAAGATTTGAGTGTCATTGGCATTGAAAAACTATTTCATGACCACATTTATCGAAAGAACAAGGAATCCCATTACATTCATCTTTTCGGGACACACGAGCCACAAGGGATGAATATTAAGGAAGTTTACACCAATTACAAAAAATTTCATTCATTGTTTTAATCAATTCTTGTACCTAATATATTTTTTTCTCAGAATTGGATCATGCATGGCCAGATATGCTAATAACAGACAAAATATCACTATATTACATTTGACACACAGACAACTTTTCTGGTCTGCATTATACAATACTGAGAAATAAAACACCATTGTGTAATTTGGACTTCAATTGCTAAATATAAAACAAAGAGAGAGATCTCATCAATGACACTTATTTCGGCCACCCGCTGTTATTTTAATCAAGAAATTCACAGATTTTATTGATTATTTAACATGCGTGACTCCTATAATTCTACTATGATTGTTTAAATATGCATGTAACTGCTTTTCATGTTGTAGTTGAATTATGTATGTCTGAAGAAGTCTGACCTTGGTCAGACGAAACGTTACAGAAATATATTTGTGTTAGTGTGCAGCAAGACTCTTGAATCACTTATCAAAGGTTTTAAATTGAGTTTTATATTAAGTGGGCATTACTATTTGTTTTGCCTTGGATAACAAAGGCGCGAGAGTCGATAAAATTCATCATAAAAACTACATTATTTTTATTACCCCCGCCAGCAAAGCTCATAAGTCAGGTAATTTTTCGATCGTTTAAGCACGGAGCTGAGTTGAAACAATCCCACAATCCGCACTTATACCTGTACCGTGTATGTGTGCAGTAAGATTACGCAAACGATCGCGTTGGTGAGCACTTATCTCGATCTCAAATATATTACATAGTGACAGACAGAATACCTGCAATAGCTGTGCATTATGTGAGTTTGCTGACAATGCAAATGCCACTGAATGCAAACACTCGAAACTGTTAATTGGATATTGTCTAATTCCTAATATGATCAGTGGTATTTTGTGAGCAAACGTCACATATTCAATTCGAACAGAAGAAAAGCAAATTCTCCAAATAACCTGAGATTTGTATCTAAATTGCATTAGTGTTTTCTCTCTGATCTAATATTAAAAGAAAAAATACACCAATTTCAAAGCCCAAGAAATATGAATGATTAATATCATAATAAGGTTTAGGTGATAATACGTACTGGTTTTACACACACAAACGCAGTTACAGTTATAGTCATTAAAATTGCAAAAACAAGTTTTTGGTTTTCCGCAGATTATACGTCACCTTTTCTCCTTCCTTTTGAGGCACATAAAAAACTTCATGCCATATTCGAATTCCTGTCGTGTCCTGTTGAGGTCCAGATGTGAATGGTATTCCATTACCGACGCTCGTGTGGTCGTCACCCATCCAGTTTGAGTCTTTCCACTATTAAGGACTCAACTGTTTTTATTTCGGTAAGTTTATGCGCAGATGTGTCTTACAATTTTCAAAGGGCTGCGGTATATGAAAATGCTTATGATATCTAATTGTTTTACATTAATATGTTTAATTAATTGCTGTTTCATATTTCAAATCATTGGAAATGATTATACGGGCAAAGCACAAACAATTCATAGACCTAATCCACTTAAAATATAGGCAATCTAGGGGTTGAGCGAGTAAAAGCAAAAATACTCACGCCTTCATTTTTAAGATACCGCAAAATAAAGTTGAGAAGGAAGGACTTCCCAGTTCTTACTCTTCCAACAATTGAAATGAAAGCTATAGGCCGATCTCCGATCTCCGATCTGATGAGAACACGTCGCAATGCATCGTGATTTATTCTTATGCTGTCATGATACTCACGAGTCACTTCTATAAAATTCGACGTCATCTAAGTAGGTATTATAAAAATTATTTTACCCGATTCTTATGAATTTTTTCATGTACAGTATATGTGCTAGAAATATATACTTCGGAAATTAATACATGGCGGTTACAAGCCCTTTGTCATGATATGTGGATCAGACTACCGGATACTATAAACTGAATGAAGCATTGAACTTATACCTAAAACAAGAGGCTGTTTCTGAAAATTCATTGGTTTGTTTAATTAACTTCAGATACTTAGGCCAAATAAATCTCCTCATCAGTCAAATGCTCTCATAAGAATTTGTCTACATCGCTGACCGGCTCGCTTATACCCTGCGTACGCAACGTAAACCAAGAACAAACTCCTCATAAGATTTTGCTAAATGGTTCGTAGTTCCGCATCGAATGATGTGGATGTGTGATGAGATTTTCCGTGTGTTTTGCCATTTTGATGATATATGAGAATGGCCTCAATTGGTTCCAACGCTGCGAAATGAGTTTTTGATTCCACTATTCTTGCTAGTGAGACAAACTAAAACCTATTTACATTTCAGTACACCAGCGATTCATCGCTCATCATTGCAACAGATGCGTTAACCAGTGACAGATTTGGTCGTTCTTTCTCCCCTAACGAGATCTTTCGTCAAATCAATGTAAAGAAGAAAGAACCGGCCTCCCGCCATGTTTGTTTCCAGAATATATACTAGTCACTGACTCCGGGCATCGTCGTGTGCTATAATAGCATTGTCTTCTACCGATAATATGATATTATTCTGTCTAGCCACGTCAACACCAATATAATTATTCTGACCAACCACGCTTCATTACTTATCTATCTCGATCGGTAAGTATGTTGATAGGTAGTTGTCTGTTTGTTTGTCTGACTGTTTGTCTGGGGCGCAGTTCTTACCACTTCATGGCAGCTCCTGCCACGAACGAACCGCGGCAGCTCTTGCCATGGTTTTATTAGAGCTATTCAGTATTCAGTAATCAGTATTAACGACTTTAACGTTAACGGTATATTCACAAATTAATGTACCAGATTTTTGATTGATCATGCGGAATTATATCTACTTAAACCCTAACCCTACCCTAACATCCATTAAAACTGTATCCATAAGAAAAACATTCCGACTTACCCAATATTTGTCACCATAAAGGACAGCCCTGTTTTTACGGCCCACCTGCCGTGGTTACGGCAGCAAAATTTTACCTGCCATTTGTTTTCAATTTGCTGCCGCTGTAACGGCAGCTCGTCATTGGTTTGTGGCAGCTGAAAAGTCAGTCGCCATAGGCTTGGCCGTAGCGGACATGGTATGGAAATACCGCCATGGTTTTGCGGCAGCTGCAGACGCCACAGAATACCCAAAACTGCACTTGGTTTGTCTGTTAGACACTGGCGATATCTCACGAAAGCGACGTTGAATCTGCTCCAAAATAGCATGTGCATTTATCATATTTCGGACCAGAAGCCCATTGATTTTAGATTAATTATGTCGTATAACTTGCGAGTAATTGATTAATTAGTTATAGGACACGCGGTGTCGCTGTTTAGTCAGAGCGAAGGCTACACGCCGCTAGATCTACAAGTCGGCGGTCTCCGATCGCTATCTCGTTATCCCATTGTGCAGTATAGCACGAATAACATTCCAAAGTCAATAAACATCCTAATATTATCAATGGAGGGGAACATTGAGACATAAAAATATTCCACAAGAGATAGAGAGAGAGATTTTATTTTACAAATAATGTCAACACTATAAAACATTTGAAGCAACAGAAAGAAAAAAAATAATAATTCAATATTATTCGGTTATCTAAATATGTGAGGGTCAGTATGCAAGGTTCCTGACCCATGCTGTATGACATATTACGAAGTTTCAAAAATTTAATCATGACGTAATAATACTTTCAGCAGCAGATAATATTGTGACGCCATAATGTATTTTAAATAATTTGTATGGCGTCACTATGAAGAGAGGAGGAAATTGTTTTTAAGACATCATAATGAATTTAAAGCAAAGATATGTGTCGTCATAATAATTTTATAAATGCTTGTGATTTGGGAACCTCCTTGCAAATGGAATAGCATAAGTATTCTTAACGACTAAATTAAATTCATTTATGGATTCACAAGCGAGGGAATTAATAAATATTTCCCTCAACAATTTTTCATCAAATATTAGATGTAGTTTTGGTAACACTTAGTTTAGCTCCCCTTGGACCGTTACCCTCATTTTTATGCTACTTAATAAATACAAGCCGCCCTTTAGTTTTGTTATCACCTGCTGAATTCAGAAAATTCAGAAGAATATCATTTTACCCAAAAAGATGAATTTTTACCAACTTATATTCAAGTTCTCTAGTTCCAAGAATTGTGAAATCACGAGAGCGTAAAAAGATTATTAACTCAACTTTATATTCGACTTTTGACATCAGAGCCACAACAATATTGTCAGTCATTTCTAGTCAATATTTCAAATGCAACTTGTGTTGTGATTTTATTCTTTACTTCGAATGATTCAATTTGATTGAGTAAATATTACAATATTCCGACAATATACACATTACTGAGCGATATATAACTATTCTGACTGGGTCATGAAGGAGGCATTTCCTATAAATAGTCAAATAGTGCAGACGAAAGCAGAGAAGAAGCTAAGGCAGTGGTTCTCAACCTTTTTTTTTGCTCGCGGAAGAAGCAATGAAAACGAAGAAGTTAGGGACAAGCATCCTATTAAACTTCGACCCTAAAGCGTGTATGTCTGATAATTTCAGGTTCTTTCTACTATTTAGGACTCTCCAATATGCAAATTGTTATGCAAAATGACTTGCGCTCCAGAAGTGTGTGTACCAATATGGACGAAACTAATTTTGTTAGCCTACCTTACATCAAGTTGTGTGAAGATACTGAAACCTATGGGCAGGGGAAATTAACTTGGCTATCACACACAGTTCCTGAGCTTGAAAGAACTGAAATAAGGAAAATCGGAATAAAACTATGGCGTAACCCTCACCTGACACACATACTACTGGAGTCCCCATTTTGAATGTGCCATTGCACATAGTCATAACCAGAGCTGTTTTGTAATATTCGTAACTATTCGCCACTCGTTATAGTATTAAATTTTTATTTGTTCACTTTATTCATCAATAAGATGGTAATATTCTTAGCATTCACGCTTCATTGATATACAGTTTTGAATAAATCAGCCACACGTAAGATGGTAGCAACCACATTCATCACTGAGATGATTATTCTGACGAGTCACGCTCCGTTGCTTCGATTTGATAGAACGATTAAACTAATTTAAACTACAACCAAGACACACCCTTACCTAAACATGCATATGAAAACCCACTGTTATGCTTGATCCATGCATGGCCCGCTTTCAACCCAGAAGAGCAATGAGGCTATCAAGCCCTTGTTTTTTGAGGGTCGGACTCAGCTATGTTTTACTAAACTTATTATTTCTATATTGTGTCTATTACAAACAAAATACGTGAAAGATACTTTAAATGCGAATATACGTCGTTTCATCTGTCCCGTTTTTTTGTGTCCTGTTTAATTAATTTTCAAAGTGATCAGTAAAATCAACTCTTCTCATTCTATCATTCCTGTGGTTTGATAGGTGAGGATAGTATTTACATATTTATCCCAGAGGAGAGAAAAGTCATTAAAACGGCTCAACCATATAGCGAACCACGGCCTCTCATCCGGTTACCAGTCCATGTAGGGTACGGGATTAGTTAGTCAGTTAATCATTTTTCAGAAGTATGAACTTGATGGCGGAGGAAGCCATAACCGACTAGCGGTTACGTGAACGATAAGTCCAGCAATTCTCTCACCTGAGAATCCACGCAGGGTAATCATGGGTGCGGTGGCGAGCGTATTTCTAACGCTTAGCAGAATGCGTCACACCGCCCAGCCGATATGGACAAGTATACCCGAGAAACGTGCTCATCTTTATAAACGCATTTTTATATTTACTTGTACCTAACCGATCCCAATATACTTAAAATCTAAAAGTACAGATATTTGCGATCCCACAACAAGAAAAGTTTCGCATTTTTATTGCTATTGACGAATATCTTTCTGAAGCTAATTATTCTTTTGAATTGACATTACACAAATTTGAGCTGCCGCATTCTCACATCAACAAATCTGCTGTGCGACACCTCATGGACGTAAATAAAACAAAAGTATATTCTCAATACAATGCCAATCTCGCTATGAATCCAGATTTCATAATTCGGACGCCATTGGTCGTTGAATATATCAAATAAAGCGTTAAATTGGGAACACTAAATGGGCGTGTCATTATAAAATATTTGCTATATGATTGCTGTAATTAAAGTTTGTTTATTTTCGTGTTGCAATAAATTTTTGTGAGCACAAGCCGGAACCCCCCCTAACAAAGGAATCGTTTTCAGTTTGAAGTAAACAAGACCAACACTTAATCATCAGTCATAGTTCATTGAATTATATGTTGAAATTTATTCGTTCGAAATGAATTACATTCAGTAATAATTTTTTAATTCGCACGATTAAATGACATCACTTTGCTGAAATTCAGTTGAGAACATGTGTCGTTGCCTATCACTGGCCAATAAGTACATACACATATCCTGTTGGGTCAGGCCTTCCTGCTATTTTGTTGACGCAAAGTGGGTCGTTGAAATGATTCTGGATAAGTTTGGCCTCTGTGACATTTCCATACGTAGACGAAATGTCAGCGTAATACGTCATATCTTTACGAAACTTATTTCTCCATTCCTGGCTCTTTGGTAAAGTGTCGCATATGTAGCGTGTATCCACTGTTGAAGCATAGCCGATGTAGTAATGCTTGCCATATTTTCTGGCCTCTTCGATACAGCCTTCGAGTTCAAGGGGATTAACTTGTCGTATGTCATGCGAGTGCGTGCAAAGATGCGATGTTTGATGACCATACGCCCCACCACCCGTACGAGATTGCACTTGTCCCATTTTATTGATATTTAATATTCAAAATCTGAAA